TTCTGCCCTCTCTTTGTTTTCCAAAGATATTGACTGTAAGTAAGAACTTACATTTATATAGCAACCAGCATGAGCCCCCAAGCGTGTTACAGCCACTTTAAGTACTTGTTAAGGTGTGGTCACAGTTCTCTCCAAGTTGCTTGTGTGTAGCTATGCAGCAATGTCAGATGCAGGCGATAACATTCTGTATGCGATTAGCAGTCCCTTGATGCTGCGTGTCTGTGTGACCACATTGCAACCTTAAAGGGACCAAGCCGTATTAGAAACACAATATACACAGCAAAGCCCCACTATCAACACCCTGAGGTGGGGGGGGGGATGGTGGTTACCATTGACCAGAAACTGAACTGGACTAGTCATATAAATACAATGGCTACCAGAGCAGGTCAGATCCCAGGAATACTGCAGTAAGTAACTCACCAATGGGCTCAACAAACCCTATCCACAGGGCACAAGTCAGGAGTGTGATGGAATACTCCCCACTTACCTGGATGGGTGCAGCTCCAAGAAGCTTGACCCTATCCAGTACAAAATAAAAACCGAAAGCACTGCAGATGCAAATGTCAGATACAAAAATAGAGATTGCTGAAAAAGCTCAGGTGTGTGGGGTAGGGGGCTGGGACGTGGGAGAGTTCAGGCCCTAAAATTATTGAACTTGATATTGAGTCTGAAGGGCTGCAGGGTCCCCAAGCGGAAAATGAAGTGCTCTTCTTCCGGCTTGCGTTGAGCTTCACTGGAACACTGCAGCAAGCCTGAGACAAAGATGTTGGCCAGGGAATAGGGTGGTGTGTTAAAGTGGCAGGCAACAGGTAGCTCAGGGTCCTTTTTGCGAGCAGAACGTAGATGTTCTGCGAAGCGGTCACCCAGTCTATTCTTTGTTCCCCCAGTGTAGAGGAGACTACATTGTGAGCAGCGAATGCAGTAGACTAGATTCTGGGAAGTGCAGGTGAAGTGTTGCTTCACCTGGAAGGTATGTTTAAGCCCTTGGATACGGGGGAGGGAGGAGGCAAATGGGCAGGTTTTGCACCTTTGCCGCTTACAGGGGAAGGTGCTGTAGGGCTGTGGCGGGGGGGGGGGGGGGGGGGGGGGGGGGAGTGAAGGAAGAGTGGACCAGAGTGTCCTGGAGGGAATGGTCTTTGCAGAAGGTGGACAAGGGAGCGGACGGGAATATATATCTGACTGTGGCATCTCGCTGGAGATGGTGGAAATGGAGTCTGATGATCTTCTGGATGTGGATGCTGGTGGGATGGTAGGTGAGGATAAGGGGAACCCTATCGCTGTTGCAGGAGGGAAGAGAGGGTGTGAGGGCGGAAGTGTGGGAAATGGGTCAGACACGGCTGAGGGCCCTGTCGACAACGGTGCTGGGGAATCCTTAGTTGAGGAAGAAGATAGACATTTCGGAGGCTCCCTTGTTGGTGCTGGACTCATTGGAACATATGCGACAGAGACGGAGGAACTGAGAGAATAGGATGGAGTCTTTACAGGAAACAGGGTGTGAGGATGTATAGTCCAGGTAGCTGTGGGAGCCAGTGGGTTTGTAATGGATGTTAATGGCCAGTCTATCCCCAGAAATGGAAACAGAGATGTCGAGGAAGGGAAGGGAGGAGTCAAAGATAGACCAGGTGGAAGTGAGGGCAGGGTGGAAATTGGAAGCGAAACTGATGAACTTTTCCAATTCCAGACAAGAGAGGGAAGCAGCACCGATGATATCATCGATAAAGCGGAGAAAGAGTTGTGGGTGGGGGCCGGAACAGGACTGGAACAAAGAATGTTCCACGTACCCCATGATGAGACAGGCACAACTGGGGCTAACTATCCAGGACAGAGGATGCCGCTGGATTGATGGCTTGTCCACCACCTTAAATACACACTCCCTTCTCCAATGATACTCAGTGGCTCAAGTGCATACCATCTACAAGGTGCACTGTAGCTACCTGCCAAGGCTCCTTCAGCAACACCTTCCCAACATGTGACATTCACCACCCAGAAGGACTAGGACAGAGGGCACATGGGAACACCACCACCTGCACGGTCCCGTCCAGGTCACTCAGCATCCTGACTTGGAAATATATCACTAGTGTCACTGGCTCCAAATCCTGGAAGTCCCTGATCTTATAGAAACATATAAAATTATGAAGGGAATAGATGAGATAGAAGTAGAGAGGATGTTTCCACTGGCAGGTGAAGCTAAGACAAGAGGGCATAGCCTCAAGATTAGAGGGAGCAGATTTAGGACTGAACTGAGAAGAAATTTCTTCACCCAGAGGGTTGTTAATCTATGGAATTCCTTGCCCAGTGAAGTAGTTGACGCTACTTCAGTAAATGTTTTTAAAAAAAAGGTAGATTTTTTTTGAACAATAAAGGAATTAAGGGATACGGTGAGAACGCGGGTAAGTGGATCTGAGTCCAAGAAAGGATCAGCCATGATCTTATTAAATGGCGGAGCAGGCTCGAAGGGCCAGACGCCCTACTCCCGCTCCTAGTTCTTATGTTCTTCACACTGTAGTTATGCCTAAACCCCCAGAATACAAGAACGTGGCTCTTCTCCAATTTCTCAAGGATGCTTAGGGCCGGGCAGTAAATTTGGGGCAACCAGTGACAGCTACATGCCATGCGCAAATAGAAATAATTGCAGGGCTGTCAAGTTCTCCCTGGCTGAAAGCAGCTCATCCAACACAGGGAATAGTCAGCAAACTCCCAAAATGTATCATAGGCTCAAACGCTAACCCTTCTGATCCTGAGGTGCAAGAATTCCCATTGGAACGTTGTGATGAACACCTACTGTAAGTCTCCAGTCTGGGGTCTTGTAAAACAGTCATTGGCGGGAATAAAGAAACAGGCATGTTAGTTGGCAAAATAAAATTTCAGAGAGGGACTGGCACTAGGGGACAGTGACAAAACTAAGGAGCAGCCCATTAAGATTGAGATGTGGAAAAATGTTTTCTCTAAGAGGGCTGTGAGTCTTTGGAACTCTCTTTCCCAGATAGCTGGGGAGGCAGGGTGATTTAATATTCATAAGGCCTCTCCTTGGCAAAGAAGGAAGGTTAAAGAGAGGGGAGGGAGATAGATTGAAAAGTGGAGGCTGCAATAAGACCACCATGATCATATTGAGTAGCAGAGCAGGTACAAAGGGTCCAATGCTGCTTCTAATTTGTATGTTTCTATGTCTCGGGTCACCGTACAGAAACTGTGAAAATGCTGGAGCTTGAATAGTATCGAAGTCAATTAACCGCAGTAGGAGCTGCTGCAACATTTTTTATTGACCTGCACCGAGGGATCAGGAAAGTGAAGGTTCGCCAATATTCCGGATAATCAAGAGGTACACTATCGCCTTACCAAGCGAAGCTTCGAGGTATCAACATCCCTCAAAAATGAGTGAAAACATCAACACACTTCCTAAAATGAATGTAAAAACACGCAGAAAGTAATAGAAAGAAGTTATGTACATCACTTACATATTTAGGACTTAAATATTTAGACATGGTGTTAATGTAGGTTTTTTTGCCGGTTTAGCAAGAGTGCCGGTTGATTAAGGTATCGGTTAAAACAAAGTTCGCTGTAGTTGTTCTTCTGCATCAGTAGGTCTTGGAATCAAGACCCCGATCAGAAATGTGAGGGCGGAATCAATGCATCCAGTGCAGCACTGAAGGAAGAGATAACAAGATGTAGAGCTGGATGAACACAGCAGGCCAAGCAGCATCAGCGGAGCAGGAAAGCTGACATTTCAGGCCTAGACCCTTCTTCAGAAATGCCCATTTCTGAAGAAGGGTCTAGGCCCGAAACGTCAGCCTTCCTGCTCCTCGGCCTGCTGTGTTCATCCAGCTCTACACCTTGTTATCTCTTGCAAGGTAATGGGATTGTTATTCCAGGAATAACCAGGGGCTGTATTTGCTCAGTAACATCCTGATAGGGAGTTCACAGACTGGAGACGTTAACTCAGTTTCTCTCTCCACAGGTGCTGGCAGACCCGCTGAGTTTCTCCAGCAATTTCTGTTTTGATTCCATCAGCAGTATTTTGTTCTTTTTTTCATTATTTTCCAGTCGAAATGTTGTGCATCGAGGACTGATATAATATGACCAGAAGAAATCGGAGTGGGAGCAGGCCATTCGGCCCTTTTAACGTATTTTGTCAATCAGTAAGATCGCAGCTGAGCTGATGGTGGACTCAACTACTCCGTTGCCTGTCCCCATGCCCCCCGAATGTCTCGTTTATCAAAAAAATCCTTTCTCTCAGCCTTGAATATATTTAATGACCCGACTTCCTCTGATCCCTGGGGCAGAGTTCAAAGAGACTAACCACCTCCTCAGAGAGGAGAAACTCCTCATCACTGTCTTATTCAGAAAATGCCTCCCCCCACTTCCCAATAATAGATTCCCAGACACGGGATACGTTCTGTCATCCTCCACTATCAAATATATTCTGAAAGAATCTCCATATATGCCTATAATATCTCCATACGTTAAATGAGATGCATTTATATATAGATAACACAGTCAACTTACCTGCTCCTCTGATACTGCCTGACCTGCTGTGTTCCTCCAGCTCCACACTGTGTTATCTCTAACTCCAGCATCGGCAGTTTTTACTGTCTCTGCTTTTATAAATATCTCCATATAGTTCATTGGGACGCATATATATATTTATCTGAATGTTTATTAGGCTTCATATATATCTCCATAAAAGTTAAATAAGATGCATTTATATAATTCTTTATAGGTTAAGCGTGTGTATATGTGTTAAATAGGGATGCATATTATATATAATTTCATATAAGTTAAAAGTGTGTATATATTTTAGTTAGAATGTATATATATTTTATGATTTCATGCAGGTTAAACGTGTGTGTATATTTACAGGTTAAATAGGATGCATATGCAAAACAGCAGTGGAATTTCTGAAGTGAATTGGCGGGGAACTGATGACGATGAGAGTGTAAAACTAGTTTCACCAATTAAACGCTGCGCTATGAGAGAGGTTGTATTGGGTAGGGACTCAGATTGTCAGCGAGCACTTTGGAGGTGAAGTGATAAATAGTTGTCCCTCTATTGCACTCTGACTATTGAATGTGAGTCCTTTTGTGTGAGATTGAGAACAATCCTTCCTCTCTCTCTCTCTCTCTCTCTCTCTGGGCAGTCAGTCCGATCACTCACACCTCTCAGGAGCTGCAAGATGCTGAACAGGAGGCGCCGGTCCGTGCCTGCACCTTCGGCCGCCTTTGACCGCTGCCGGGCGGGGGAGAGGCTACAGGCGGCGCTGGCCGGGCTGCAGGAGCTGGAACTGTTGAAGGAGAGGCAGAGGGAGCTGGTGAAGGGGGCGCTGGAGACCGAGAGCCCTACAGCCAAGCTGGCCAACAGGCAGAGCTGCACCGAGGAGGCCAGGCTGGAAGCGACCCTGTGCTCTCTAAAGGAGCAACTGGTAAGCAACCGTCCTCAACAAAACTGTAACTGACAACTGCTCATTCCGAGTTTAACATTGTCCCAACTTTTTCAACCTCACATGATCTGACACTTATCCTTGTTTTCAGTTTTGTAGAGATCCCTACCCCGAACCTAGCGGTGGGGGGAGGGGGAGTTGGCAAGTGGCAAGGGTTAGAGAATTTAATAACTCATAAAAAGTTATTGATTTGGATTGGATGGTGCAGAGAGTTATCTAGCAAATAATTAAACCAGCTCCAAATCCTGCTGTGTTCAGCTTTCACTTACAGCAAGAGCTGATGTGAATACGGCGTACCTTAAAAAAAAGTACAATATCTGTTTCTAACGGTCATTGTATTTTCTAGTCAGCTGTATAGGGATGTTAATATACCCCTTTAGAACTATGTAGGACATGAACCCGGATCTCCCACCCTAGTTCTGAGGAAGGGTCACCGGTCCCGAAACGTTAACTCTGATTTCTCTCCACAGATGCTGCCAGACCTGCTGAGCTGTTCCAACAATTTCTGTTTCTGTCTCCCACTTCAGACGCTGGGACACTACTACTGTGTCACAAGAGGCTGCATCTTTTTTAAAAAATGATTGCTTTCAAAAGGTTGCATATAATCCCAACAAACAATGTGATCCATAATACGTAAAATGTATTTGTGCATGCATGGACTACTTATGCATGTAAGGATTATTGTCTGTTTGAAAAACAATTACAAACATATTCACATTTCATATATATGTCCAGAAGTAAGAATTGTTTATCTATTTACAACTTGTTTAAGAATTTTACAAACACGAGCAGTTGCTGTGCGTTAATGTTTAGGAGTTAAAAATACTTGTATGTCACTTTTATTTTTACCAGCATCATGATTACATTTAAAAGTTTTATAGCAATGTATTTTAGGATTAAATGCATTCATCTACACAAGAGTTTACAGTTAATTCTTGGTGTATTGGGGTTTTTCGCGGCTAATTTGATCCCCATGATCGATGTCTACATCAATTCTCAATCCACATTGAGACTGGGATACACATCCTGGCCTGACTTTCCACAGGTCGTCTGTCTGTGTTTAAAATATCAACAGCTCGTCAACCAAGTGTGAAAACGGGGCAGGTTGTTCCCTGTTCTGGTGTGACAATTTCTCTCTCTCTCTCCTCGGACTGCTGCTGAGGTCTCATTCAATGCAGATGTGAATTCCTCTCGAAGCCTCCCTCCTCTCTCTCTCTACAAACCCCCGAGGGGACGTCTCGTCTTGTTCCGGGGGGCCCCACCGCCAAACACCAAATAGACTTTGCATATTTCGAGATTGTTATTTCACCAGAAGGCAGACTTGCATTTGCAAAACGCCTTCAACACCACCGCCCTCTTCCCCCCCACCCCCAACTCCCGGCTAAGGCCATTTTCCAGGGGGTCGCCGTTGTAAAATGGGAAACGTCGCAACCGATCTTGCACAGCAAGATCCCACAAGCAAACGGCAATAGATCAGATTATCTGAGTCGGTGGTGTTGGTCAGGAGATAAATATTAGCCAGGAGTCGAGGGATGACTGCCCTTCTTTGAAACACATGTAAATACACAGCTTAGGTGCAGAAATTGGCCATTCGACCCCTTCAGCCTGCTCTCCCATTCAATAGCTGACCAGAATGTTTCAAAGGGTTTGGGGAGGGACGTGGCCGTTGATTCAAGGCCCCTTTTACATTAGACCAGAAGATAAGATAAAGATGTTAAGGAAATCAAACAGAGGAGGAAATCCTCCTTGAGAAGAATGCGGTATTGAAGAGGAGGGAGTGACCATGGTAAATAGCAGTGGTACCTGTTAATTAAAGGTAAACTGGGAACAATTGACTTCAAGTCAAATCCCCCTCCTTGACTGGGTCTGTCTGACTAAAATGCTATGGTTTGATAATGGTGTGTTTCCAGTTAGTGAGGACTCCTATTCATAAAGAGATCAGTGTCACAGGCTTTGAAAAGATATCATTTCCCCTTTGTTCTAGGTTCATAGCTTTCTCTGTCTCTGTGTCAGTCATTTATTCCCCCTTTGAACTTTTCCAAAGGTGCTCTTATGATGACCCTCTCATAACTTTCCCTGAATGAGCTGGGGCAAGCTGAATATTGGCAGTACAGCCTCACCGTCTGAATCATGAGATCCCGAGTCCAAGCCTCATGCTAGGACATGAGCACAAAATCAAGGCAGACGCTCCAGTGCAGTGGGGGAGGTGATGACCTAGTGGAATTATTGCTGGATTATTAATCCAGAGACCCAGCTAATGTCATGGGTCCTGGATTCAAATCTCATCAGGGCAGATGGTGGAATTTGAATTCCGTTTTTAAAAATATGGAATTAAGAGTCTCATGATGAATCTATTGTTAAGAAAGATCCACCTGGTTCACTAATGTCCTTTAGAGAAGGAAACTGCCATCCTTACCTGAGATAGTAGGAACTGCTGATGCTGGAGAATCTGAGGTAACAAGGTGTAGAGCTGGATGAACACAGCAGGCCAAGCAGCGTCAGAGGAGCAGGAAGAAGAAGGGTCCAGACCCGAAAAGTCAGCTTTCCTGCTCCTCTGATGTTGCTTAGCCTGCTGTGTTCATCCAGCTCTACACCTTGTTATCTGCCATCCTTACCTGGTCTGGCCTACATGTGACTCCAGACCCACAGTGACGTGGTTGTCTCTTAACTGCCCTGTGGGCAATAAATGCTGACCTAGCCAGTGACACCCACATCCCAAGAAAAGCACTGAGGGTGTGCTGCACTGCTGGTGGTATTGGCTTGCAGATGAAGCATTAAAATCAAGGCTCTGCTTGCCTCCTCTGGTGTATTGAGAGAATCGGTGACACTATTTTGAAGAAGAGCTGGTGTCCCGACCAACGATTATCCCTAGATCAACTTCTGAAAGCCAGGTGATCTGGTTGTCACCGTTTGATCTGTTGTGTTTTCTTTGGGATCTTGCAATTTGTCTGCCACCAATCCTCCATGGCCACTATTTTTGAAAGGTTTCCATTGGTTTTAAAATGGGCTTTGAGGTATCTGATGGTCAAGAAGGGCGTCACATAGGTTCAAGTCTTTCTTTAAATGTTGACATTGAGGGGCATCTGTTCAGCAAGTCTGATCTTACCCTTGTAACTCATGCTTACGTTTTCTGTAAGAGAGTGCTTATTTTTAAAAAAAAGTATTTATATGGAGCCTCAGGGATTCCCTGAATTACTTCACAGCCAATGAGGTATACCGAAGGTGTAATCGGTGTGGTGGTGGAGGGAAATATGACAGCCAAATGATGCACAGCAAGGTCCCACAAACAATAGGATGCTCCAGACAACTGCCCCGCTCTTTGACCCCTGGGCAGTAGCTAGGAAAGGGGTCACCAAATAACAAGTCAGTAGTGACTGCCACTTCATAATCCTGGGGCTCTGAGGACCAGCCCCTTTGGTGCCACAGAAGATGCCTTTGAAATGGCTGGCACTGTGTGTGGCATTTTGGGATTCATGTGGGCAGTAGGGAGTAGGCTGCAAGAGCAAGAGGTGAAACAAAGTCTGATTCTAGTGACTGAGGTGACACAAAATCATAGAAACTTAGAAAATAGGAATTGTAGGCCATTCGGCCCTTCAAGCCTGCAGCACCATTCATTAAAATCATGTCTGATCATCCAGCTCAGTACCCTGTTCCCGCTTTTTCCTTGGAACAAGAAATGTTAAAGGGAGATTTATGAAGAGATTCTCAGAAATACAGAGAGCAGCTAGGGGCAGAAGGAGGTTAGCAGACACTCTGGAGGGGAAAAATGAGGTGCATTTTAAAAAAATATTTAGTCAGTGAATTGCTGTAATCTAGAGTGTGATGCCTAAAAGTGTTGGAAATGGATTCTGTCGAGACTTTTAAAAGGAATTCAATCTGTATTCACTGAGGAACGATTATCAGGGTCACTGACAAAGAGATGGGAAGTTGGGGACTAACCGGATTGCTCCTTCAAAGAGCTGGCACAGGAGCACTGGGCTGAATGGCCTCCTTAGTGTGAAATGAAGCTTCATTCCCCCTGGAACCTGGAGTGTGACGAGGTCGTGGGTCACACAGACAGATTTCTTTTTGCTTTCATCTTCCTTGTGTCAGTTTTTAACTGCAACACATGGAGAGCACTCTCTTGCTCTGTCTTCACACGCAGGTCTGGGAAGCTATAATTATTGGAAACTAAATCGTTGCACATTGCATAATCACAATTAATGTCTTTGTTTTTCTTGAAATGCCTGAAATGAGATCTTTTTACAATCTGCTGAATTATCAATGACTGCTGTATATCTTTATGACCACTCTTATGTGAGCTACTGCCATTAATCCAGACAGTCTAAGACTTTGGCTCCACATCAGTCACTTCCTTGATGTGGATTTGGATTGTCGTGAAACTGTAAATGCAAGTCAAAAAATAAATCACTTCAGACGCTGTCATCCGAGGAAGTAATTGCATCTCCATTTTCCTTCTCAGTCAAGCAACGATATATCCAGATTGTGTTTTTAAAACAGTAAGTTCTTGACTACTTTCTTGGTGCGGATGTTCCCCAGTTGGGTGGTCAGCTGTGTGTGGATCAGACAGCACTTGTGCGCTGCACTGTACCCCCTTTCATGCGACATGGAAGGTTTCAGTTGTGGTTTCTAATGGATGGCTCTATTGCCTCTGAGTCTGAGGTCTGCTCAGGAGACTTGAGAACAAATCTTTCCCAGAGCAGTAGCGAGGGAGTGTTGCTCTCTCGGAGGTGCCATCTTTCTGGGTGAGATATTAAACCCTTTGCCCATAAAAGATTTGCCAGTCCTTTCAGCAGAAGTAAGATGTTGAGGAGCCTTGACAGAGTATGTATGGAAAAGCCATTTCCCCTCATGGGGAATCTGGGGGGGAGGTGTCAATGTTTTTAAAAGAAGGGGGTCGCCCATTTGACACCAAGATAAGGAGAAAACGTTTCCCAAGACGGTCACGTGTCTTTGGAACTCTCTGCCATAAGACATAGGAGGCAGAAGTAGGCCATTCAGCCCATCAACTGTGCTCTACACTCCTCAAAAGGTGTTCAAAGCCGAGCCTTTGAGTATTTTTAGTGCAGAGATAGATGTATTCATGTCGTCAGGACAAGTTGGGGATGCAGTGTGTTCAGATCAGCCGTGATCTTATTTAATGGGCGAGCAAGCTTGAGGGAATGAGTGGCCTATCTCTGCTCCTATTTCGTACGTTTGTATTTGAAGAAGAGCAGAAGGGTTTCTCTGGAGTGTACTCCAGGCAACCAATATCGCTGAGAATGGATGTGTTATTAACCCATGGCTGTATATAAAAGCAAGTTGGTGTTGTGGAGGAGCTTGCTGTCTGCAAATTGGCTGCCGCTTTTGCGACATTACAGCAGCAACTCTAGTTTCTCGGCTGTAAGACACTGATATATCCTGAGGTTGCTTATAAGCGAGACATAAATGCAAATTTCTGTTGCATCTTTTTGTAGAGTGGTAAGGAATCTATGGGGAAGCAGGAATCTGGGGGTTTTGTGAACAGCTTTCACTCTCCCTGCCTTGTATGTTCCGAGTTCCACAGTTTTCGCAGGTAGAAGGGAGGCAATGGGAGCCATCATTGCAGTTTTAGCAGGAGATGTAATAGCATCAGAACTGTTGTGGAGTCATTCCTCAGACAGATGCCATGATGGAGGAACCATCATGGTCCAGGTTGATGGACTGAACTGCCTTTTTTGTTGTTTCAAAGCTACACTATTCATAAAGTTTGTTACATGAAGATTCAAAGTTGACCTTCTATAAAAGACAATGTATTTCCTGTAGTACAGTAAGTTGCACTCTGAGATTGATTTGTGGTGTATAAGTCAAATATAAGTTGACCTCATTAGAATTTAGGAAAGAAAAGAGTCATTTTGTACTTAGTATTGATTCTAGTTTCTCTCTCCACAGATGCTTCTCGGTATTCTGAGTTCCTCCAGTACTTTCAGACTTTCATTTACTTACAGTTTACACGTTTGATACTGAGGAGGAATCCTCTTGATGTTCATCCATTTATATGACACTGTATTGTACACCATGGCCACCCATTAACATAAAATAGCAGAAATCATTCTGTGTCGCTGAAAGTTAATGCTGGAACTTTTCAAAATTCTGTTTTGTTTGAGTAAAAGGCTTTTGTTTGCTTTCCAGTCACATTTAAGGAAGCAAGATGCGGGGCTGAAAATTCATCTGCAGCAATTGGACCATCAGATCAGTGAGCTCAAGCTCGATGTGAACAAGGCTTCCCCTGAGCAACCAGAGAGTGACAGCAGGCCAAGTTCCGGTAACATTCTCCTGATGTAGCATTAATGTTGCAGAACCCAGAGGTGCCAGGACTTCCTTGGATTTGGGTGCCTGTGTGGTGGGGCAGACTGTTTTTCAGAAACCTGCAAAAGGGAGGAGGCTACTCAGCCCCCATTGAGCCTCTCACACCTGCTGTGATGAGGTGGTGCCCAAGTGGTATTACTGCTGGGCTATTATTCCAGAGGCCTATGGGAGACCTAGGTTCAAACCCTGTCATGGCAGGATTCAGTAAATATCTGGATTTAACAGTCTAGTGATGATCATGAAACTGTGGAGGCGGGGGAGTAGTCTCGGCTGGCTCACTAATGTCCTTTAGGAGTGGAACTTGCTGTGCTTATCCGGTCTGGCATCCCTGTAACACCCACACCCTGTGAATAAATAATGGAAACAAAAAATAGATCATGGCTAAACATGCCTAATATATTTATATATACGTACATATCAATCTGTATCTTAAACATCATCTACCTGCCTTAGTCCCATAAACCCAACAGTAGCCACTTACTGGTAAGATACTCCCTGGTTGTGTGTTGCAACATTTTTGAATTTCATCATCATGGAGATGATGTCTCCAATTATCGATGAGTCTAAAAGGAGGTGTCATAACTATAAGACAGTCACTAATAATAAATTTGTGGAAAATGTCCTTATGTAGATCTCAACTCTGGATTCCCTTATGTACCTCCTTTTGAGACAGTTGTTAAAACCTATCCCTTTCAACAATTAAAAAAATTAAACTAAAAATTCTACTTTTTTTATCACCTTATTTTTCTTACCTGATCTACTCTTTCTTTAAAATTCTTCTACTTAAGCATTTGTCACTCTTTGCCAAAGATATTGCTGCCAGTCCATATGCATATGCCAGCAGGTGCAGCCAAAGTAGCACAACAGAGAAAAGCCTTGGGGGTTGGGGGCGGGGGGCGTGGTTCATGATGTTAAAGGCACTATATACACAGAAGTTGTTGTTGTTGCTGTTGCTGAAAGTGTTGAGAATGTGAAACTTGCTACTGCTTGGAATAGCGTCGGTGCATTTAAGGATAGGTGCAGGAGAGAGAGAAAAGGTATGACCAGTTATGGTGGTGGCGTGAGAGGAGGCTGGTGTGAAGTATAGCTACCAGCATGGACCAGATGGGCCGAATGGCCTGTTTACAAATTCTTTCATGGGATGTGCATATTACTGGCAAGACCAGTGTCCTAATTGCCTTGAATTTAGTGCCCTGCTGGGTTGGGTGTTGGGCAGAGGACAGTTAAGAATCAACCATATTATTGTGGGTCTGGAGTCACATGTAGGCCAGACCAGGTGAGGAAGGCAGATTTCCTTCCTTATAGGACATTAGTGAACAGGTTTTACTGACAATCATAGTTTCATGGTCACCAACACCAAGGATTTATAGGATATATATTTATAATTATTTTCTAACCAACCTGTTCAGAGATGCTCTTGCACACCTCTGTGGGGCAGGTGGGATTTGAACCTGGGTCTGCTGGCTCAGAGGTAGGGACAGATTTATGACCTGAGTATAAATTCTATCAGCTGTCATGATGGGATTTGAATCCATGCCCCTAGAACATTGGGCTGGCCTTCTGGATTACCAGCTCAGTGACATCAAGACCATCACTCCCTCTTCCTGGCTTTATCCTTTTTCTTTGTGAGTCAACCTGGATTAGAAAATAAATAGGTTGGCAATTTATTGCTGTGTGCCCTGTGTACTGCAAGTATCTTGCTTTGGAAGGGTAACATTCAGACCAACACTGGACTCCCCCTGTTGAATAACTAATGCAACAGCACGATGGCATGTGCTGACCGCAATCGGTTTGTACGAGTGTTGATATGAATATATCACCTTCCCTAACCTGGTGTATTTGTACTATAGCATCTCCCAGTCCATTAAGAAATGCTGTTGCTGCCCGAGAGCTGTTCCTGTTTTACAAATTTCTCTGATTGCTACGTTCCTTCCACTTTAGCTGGAGAGTATCTAGTGCCTGGCTAATCCTAAACCCCATACACCCCCCAACTCTGATAGTCCCACTCCAGCAGAACAGTTGAAACACACGGTTTAGGAGCAAGGGGAGGCCACTCTGCCCGTTGAGCCAGTTGTACCATTCAACAAGATCACAGCTGATCTGCATATTAGGTTTATAGCAACAGTCAGTTCCTTTTATACAAAGGGTCACATCTCTTCATTGAATCATACAGCACGGAAACAGACCCTTCGGTTCAACTCATCCGTGCCTACCAAGTTGCCCAAGCTAAACTAGTCCCACTTGCCTGTGTTTGGCCCGCAAACCTCTAAACCATTCCCATTCATGTCCCTGTCCAAATTCATGTCCCTATTTCATGTTGAACAGTCAATTTAAGCCAGCACCCAGTTGGGGTCACCTTGTGCGATACTGTTCTCAGGCTGTGAGGATTTGCCCCAGCTCCTTGAGACTTGAATATAGGAATAGAAGTAGGCCATTCAGCCCTCAATACAATGATGGCTGATAGAACACCTTAAATGCTTTTCTTCACCCCATCTCCATAACCCTGTACCTGATGGCTTCTAATTCATCTTTGATCTCAGTGATGTTGCATCTATTTTATCTTCCATCGTACCTATTGACTAATTCCCATCATCATCACCCTGAGAATTAATGTTTCCCCCACCTCTGATCATCTGGTTTAAACTCTCTTTATATTATCAACTGTCTTTGCTGTCTCTCCAGCACAGAATTGGCCATTTGATCTTTGAGACTGTACCAGCTCTCGGGCAGAGATTTTGATCGTAGCTCCTGTTTTCTTTCATCTTTGACTCAGTCAACGCCTCGAACTGAATTAATTCTCCAATTCCCATTTTGAAATTATTGATGGCAAACATTTCTACACCAATTGGGATAGAGCATTCCAGATCCCAAGAGCTCTTGAGGGGGAAGAATGTCTTTTTAGTCTGCCCTCTGGATATTTTATCAATTTATTTTGAATCCTTGACCTCAGTTCTTCCCCCTCTACTTTATCTCTCTAGGATTAACCTACCTCTTGTCTGCAGCTTTTCTAGAGCAAGTTTGTGTGAACTGAGCTTGGTCTCCTCAGCCTGGTCTTCATTGTGGATCAGGCTGTTAACCTTGAAATCCTGTTAATATTTGGAATGTGACCAATTCTATCTTGGCTCCCTCTCCCAATCTCTCCCAGTTTTCTACATTTGTGGGGTAAGGAGTGAGATGAAATTGGGTTAGAATGTTCTTGTGTGGAGCCTGAATGCTGGCATGCTGTAATTAGGCAGAATGGCCTGTCCTCTGATACAAACTTAGTCAATACCTTTACATTTCTCGGTATTTTCTCTTCCAATTGTAAAACTGATCCAGATTTGTTTGCAAGCCTCTTGCGCATCCAATGTACACTTGGTACATTTCTAACATATCCTTTTAACTTTTAATTTTTCCATATTTTATGGAAGGATACAGTCACATTGAAAAGGGTTCTTGTGGCACAGTGGGTAGTGTCCTTACCTCTGAGCCAGAAGGTTCAGATTCATAACCCACCTGCTCTAGAGTTGTCATAACATTTCTGAACAGGTTGATTAAAATGATTATCATAGAACCCTTACAGTGTGGAAGCAGGCCATTTGGCCTATCAAGTCCATGCTGACCCGCTGAAGAGCAACTCAATCCCCCATCCTATCCCCACATTTCCCTTGGCTAACCCACCTAGCCTGCATATCCCTGGACAATATAGACAACTTAGCCTGGCCAATCCACCTAATGGGCACATCCTTTGATTGTGGGGGAAAATGGCAACACCCAGAGGGAACATGCAAACTCCACACACAGTCACCCAAGGCTGGAATTGAACCCAGGTCCCTGGTGCTGTGAGGTAGCAGTGCTAACCACTGAGCCACCGCAACTATATTTGCTTTGGAAGGGCTACAATGAAGGTTTATTAAAGAGGTCCCTGGGATGAGCAGGTTCCTCTATGACTGAAATGATGGCTCAAGATTCCCTGGAGTTCAGAAGAATGAGAGGTAATCTCATTGAAACGTTGACAATCCTGAAGGGAATCCACAGTGGGGTCTCTGAGAGACTGTTTCCACTGGTCATGGAATCTAAACACAGAGATGTGGTCTCAGGATAAAGAACCAATGATTTTGTCTGAGATGAGGAGAAATTTCATCACTCGAAAGGTATAATATCTTTGGAATTCTGTAGCCCCCAGAAGGATGCTGCATTGTTGAATCTATTTATGCCTGGATAGACAGAATGTTTCTCTCTCAGGGAATTGCAGGATATGGCGAGCAGGCAGGAAAAGACATTTTGATGTTAAAGATCAGCCATGATTGTATTGAATGTTGGATCAGTCTCAATGGGTTGGATATTGCTCCTATTTCTTGTTGTTTTGGTGTTTATTTTTCTGATTTAACAGGTCGTTGAACTGAAATGAGGGGAGGTGGTGATGGATTGGTAATGTCGTGAGGCTGGCAACCCATAAACCTCAGGCCCACGTTCTGGGGACGTGTGTTCAAATCCCACTGTAGCAGATGGTGAAATCTGAATTCAGTCAAAAAGTCTGGGTTAAAAAGTTAGTCTAATGGACAGTCAGTTGTTATAAAAACCCATCAGGGTTCATTCATGTCCTTTTTAGGGAAGGAAATCTTCCACCCTTATGGTCTGGCCTATATGTGCCTCCAGACCCACAGCAATTAGGGATGGGCAATAAATGTTGGCCTAGCCAGCAACGCCCTCATCCTGTGAATGAATTTTTTTAAAAAAACACTCTCCTTACTCTCTTGCCTCACCCCAGGGATAACGCCTGAACCTCTGAGTGTTTGTAGACATAGTCCCTGTTTCATCTCAATAATCAGCTATGCTTTGCTCTCTTTGTGATGTTGTGGTTCTGAGTGTGATTTGGTTTCCGCTCCACAGGGTTTTATGAACTCAGTGACGGAGGGTCCTGCTCCCTGTCCACCTCGTGCACTTCCATGTCCAGTGAGTGTACCTCACCGTCGCTGGGCAGCCTGTTGTACTGCAGCCACCCGGCCGAGACAAGGGCCCTGAGGTCAGAGGTACGGCCTCGTTCGGCCGATGAGCTCACCGTGCAGTTGGCAGCCTTCAAGCAGCAAGGTCCTGGCAAACGGCCGGGGGGAGGCATCCGAACCAGTGCCGAGCTGCTTCCCGGCTTCCACCTCGCCAGGCTCGGGGTCCCTAGGCAGAGACCAGTCTCTACAGGTACTTGGGATCTTCCCTGCCCCACGGACAAAGGGGTGTAGGGGACTGACTGATGCAGAGTACTGGGCTGATATCAGAGAAGGTTCACCAGGCTGATCCTGGTATGGAGGGGACTGTCTTATGAGGAGAGGTTGAGTGGATTGGGCCTATACCCTTCGGTAGGAGAATGAGAGTTGACCTTGTTGAAACGTACGGGATTCTTAAAGGACTTGACGGAGCAGCTGTGGAAAGTTGGTCCTGGACTGTCCCGCAAGGAGAAACCAAGGGAATAATCTCAGAATAAGGGGTGACAGAGATGAGGAGGAATTTCTTCTCTCAGACGGTAGGGAATCTGTGGAGTTCTTTACCACAGAGGGCTGTTGAGGCTGGGTCATTAAGTATATTCAGGGCTGAGATAGACAGATGTTCAATCAGTAATTGAATCATGGATTATGGGGAAAAGGCAGGAAAGTGGAGTTGAGGATTATCAGACCAGGCAATAAATGACGGGGCAGACTTGATGGGCCGAATGGTCTAGTTCTGCTCTTGCATCTGGTGGTCTCATGGATCGGGGGTCTGGGTGGATGGGGAAATGGTACAGGGGTGGGGTGATGAGGAGATGGCGGCGCGCAGGTATCGGGCTGGGGGGGTGGTGGACAATGGATGAGTGGGTGAGAGATTCTGACTGTTGTGGGGGGTGCTGGTGGGTGGTTGGTGAGAGGGGGTGGAAACCGACTGTTGGAGGGGGGTGGGTTTAAGGTTGGGTAACAGGAGACTTGCGGGGTGGGGGTGGAATCTTGCACACTGTTTGTGAGGGGGGTGGGAATGACCTTCGTGGTGTGGGGTGCAGGGGATGTGTGGGTGGATGGGGTAATACCTCTGTGGGGGTTGGGTGGGGTGAGAGAGGGAGGGATATATTGAAGGGCTAGAGGTTCAGCAGCTTGTGGGAGTGGGGGGGCACAAAGTGAACACTGGTGCAAGCCATATGACATGCCTTGTTTCTCCCATCTGTCATCCAGGGGACCTGGAGAGGTTGGCACCATGGCAGGTAACATCTGCAGGCATATCCGACTGGAAGCTGCCTCTGCCCCCCTCTGCCGGGAGTGAGCTCTGCCTCCTTGCTCCGCGTCGGAACTTCCAGTGCGACCTGATCTCCGAGGACAGCAGCGATGTCTACACGTACCCCAGCCCCCTTCACGCCGTGGCTTTGCAGAGCCCCCTGTTCTACCCCGTGGAGCGGGCGGTCAGCGTGGATGACGGGCCCCCCGTGGGCCGTAGCGGTGGTCTGCAGCCACAGGGGCCGCTTCTGTCCAAAACTGGAGCCGTCTGCCTCAAGGAAGGATCTCCACCTCAGGCCACTGCTGGAGAGGGAGAGCCCAAACCAAGAGCAAGAGCCACCATGTTGGAGAAGGAGCAGGCATGGTGTGTCATGGCCTCGCAGAAGGAGGAGCCTGTGAGGCCTGTCGGCCTGCAGCGGGCTAGCAGCTGCAGGGCTGTAGGACGTCCAGCAGGAAGCACTGGATTGAAGTCCCAGAGGGCTAATGGTTGGCCCCCTATCCCACCCCTGGGTTGGGAGGGGCTAGAGGCTGGGGTCGATGTCCCGTTTGGGTTGGTGGTGCCCACTATTACTTCAGGGACTCGGTCAGGCCTCACCAGGCACGGTGGTCTGGAGCCCGGCATTGACCCCCTGCACAGGACTGGCTGGAGGCCAGAGGTCAGGCCAGGGAGGGGCAAGAGCGGGTTCGCTCATGCCCAGTTTGTGCCCGCAGAGCCCCGGCTCCGGCTGCAGGTCAGCAAGATCCAAGTGGCCAGAACCGAGCGGATGGTCAGTGGTGAGTCAACGTGGGCAGTTAAGAGACCAGGTGCTCGAGGGTCGATGGCCGTGGCTGAGGAGGGCCCTGGCAGTGGGCGTGCGGCTGGCACAGGGGGCCTCCGAGCTCCGGGCCGCCAGGAGTTCCAGGGCCGGGCCCAGCGGCTGAGGGCAGGCAGGCACCGGGGGCAACGGGCAGGGCTGAGGGCACGGACCCCTCCTCGCTCCCACTCCCACCCCCGCAGCGAGTCGGATGGCTCAGAGTATTCGGCTGAATGCGCCTCCCTGTTCCACTCCACCGTCGCCGAGAGCAGTGAGGGCGACGGCAGCGAGTACACGGCTAACCGTTTCGGGGACAGCGAGTCGAGTGGGAGCGAGGGCCGAGGGCACAGGGTCGCCCTGGTCTGGCCTCGGGCCTCAGGCGGGCGGCACCTCCCCGCAGAGGCCAGAGTTTGTCGTATCAAGGCATCGAAAGCTCTGAGGAAAAAGATCCGGAGATTCCAACCTGAATCCTTAAAAGTTATGACCATGGTTTAGGGAGGTCAGGAGGAAACGTAACCCTAGGCCTCTCCCCGTGGAGACTGGGCACTGGGCCCTAGGCCTCTCCCCGTGGAGACTGGGCACTGGGCCCTAGGCCTCTCCCCGTGGAGACTGGGCACTGGGCCGTAGGCCTCTCCCCATGGACATGTCTTGACAAAATAAGAGGTTACCTTTTTAAAAGAAGAGATGATGATCTGGTGGTACTGTCGATCGCTTATTAACCTAGAGATTGAGGTAGTGTTCTGGGGTTTGGCTTCAAAAACAGATAATGATTTGAACTCAATAAAAATCCGTAATGAAGTGACTAATGATGACCATGTCAGAAAATTCATTTGGTTTTGTCCTTTAGAGAAGGAAATCTGCCTTCCTTACCCGGTTCGGCCTACATGTGACTCCAGACCCACAGGGACTCTGGGCAGTAAATGCTGGTCGACCCTTATCCTGTGAATAAATTTTAAAAAGTGAGAGCAGTTTCTAGCTGCGAACTGTAAATGACCCCGGCGTGGCAGGGCTCCTGGGATGAATCACTCAGTGGGTCTAGTCTTATGTGACTTGTCTTTGTACTCTGTATAATAACTTTTACTGTTGTAAGGACGCTGTGTAACAATAAGAATAAAAATATTCTTTTCTGTGCTTAAGAGTTGATCCTTTTTTGCTTTTTGAGTTTCGGTGCTCACATCAGATGGTAGGGCAGGGCTGCCAATGTCACCTCACTCAGTACAAATACGTTCCCGTTTTCCCAAAATCATCTTGGATGGTGTGATTGGTCTCTGTACAAGCACCAGGCTGCAAGGAGGATATGAGGGTATTGGGATTGGGAAATGACGTCAGATTCAAACCCTCAATCCAACAGGTCAGTTTGTTGTTCGTCAGTTTGCGGGGAAGAACAGTGAAGGAAACAGTTCGACAATAGTTTCAACCTAAATTGGACCTGGCCAGAAATCTCTCTGTGGGAGCTTTCTGGGTACTGCCCTGTTCCTAACATCACAGCAGTGGCCACACTTTGAAACTTCATCTGCTAAAGAGCTGACGGTTGAAGACTGGAGTAGGCCATTTGGCTCCTCCAAGCCTGCTTCACCATCTGAGGTCATGGCTTTTTCCCCAACATCACGTTCCTGACCCCCTGCTCCCCCAATAATCTTTTGACTCTTGTTAGTCAAGAATGGATCCACCTCTGCCTTAAACATATTCAACGGCCTACTCCATCACTCTCTGAGAAAGAGATTTCCAATGACTTCACAACCCTCTGACAGAATAAAATGTGCCTCAACTCCATCTTAAAATAAGCAAAACAGTGTCCCCCTAGTCCTAACCTGTCCCACAGAGAGGAAGAAACACCCAGTCTGTCAAATCCCCTTAGGGTCTTCCATGTTTCAATACAAACATGCCTCATTCTTCTAAGTGCTAAGGGTATTCTGAGATGCTTGCAAGCATGTTCAGTATAAAATTGTGTTCTTTACTGGGGAGAGAAAGGGAGGATTGAGAGGAACGACGGGGAGGTGGGGCTCAACCTACAATGGTTGGGTGGTGGGGGGCAGGCTTTCCTGCGAATAGGAAAAGGTCAATATTGGGATGTACCATTAAAACCTCCTTGATTGGCTCAATCATTCGAAGGGGCTGGTTAATTTGTGGAAGGCAAGTGATGATATTAGCAAGATGTGGAGCTGATACCTCAGGTTTGAAATCTTAAGTCAGCTGATTTCAAGTTGGAGCTGTTGTTTTGGTTTAATTGGCCCCAGAGCTCCTGGGTTAAGGGTATGGCGGGTGGGGGAGGATGGTATTGAGTCTGTTTCTCTCCCACGCTGCCTTCACTCCATCAGTTCTGCCCTCCTCAGCATTCCCTGTCCTCAAACACACCTCTTTCAACCTCCCTCACCTCGTTCCAGTGTTGGTGGCTGTGCCATCAGCTACCTGGGCCTCAGGCTCTGTGATTCCCTCCCGAGACCTCTCAGTTTCTCCATCCTCCCTACAGCCTCTCTGGAACACTCCCAAGTTTTTGTTGATCTGCGCTAATAACTTCCTAAGTGGCTCCTTGTCCAATTTTGTTTAATAATTGCTCCTCTGAAAAACTTTACAACATGAAAAGTGCTATATAAATACAAATTGCCATTGCTTTCAGAGAATTCTGTTATGCTGTGTAATTTTGTTTTAGAAAGTAGGTAAGGATAGAAATAATCTCTTGCAGTTGTTTCCCTGGGGTTATGCATACTTGTGCCTAGGTATGTTCATAGGGTCGATGGGAATCTTATAGCAAGGGCCTTTATCACTGGAGCGTAGGAGGTTAAGAGGTCTATAAAATCATGAGGGGTATAGATAAGGTGAATGGCAGTTGTCTTTTCCCTAGCGTGGGGGATTTCAAGACTAGGGGGCATATTTTTAAGGTGAGGGGAGAAAGATTTAAAAAAGACATGGGGGCAATTTTTTTTACACAGCGTATGGTTCATGTCTGGAATGAGCTTCCAGAGGAAGTGGTGGATGTGGGTACAATTACAATGTTTAAAAGACATTTGGATAAGTACATGAATAGGAAAGGTTTGGAGGGATATGGCCCAAGTGCACACAATTGGGACTATTTAAGTTTGGGATTAAGGTTAGACCAAAAGGTCCATTTCTGTGCTGTATGGCTCTTAAGTGGTCCCCAAAGCCCGTCCGCTATCTACAAGGTGCAAGTCAGGAACGTGATGGAATACTCTGGATGGGTGCAGCTCTAACAACACCTCAAAAAGTTCCATCCAAGACAGAACTGCCCTCTGTAGTAACTGTTTTGGCTGCACCTTGCAAACTCATGACCACTATCATCCAGAAGGACAAGGGCAGCAGATACATGGGAATGCTGCAAGCTCTCCTCCGAGCCACTTGGAAATATATCGCCTTTCCTTCGTGTTGCTGGCTCAAAATCCTGGAATTCCCTCCTTAATGGCATTGTGGGTCTACCTACAGCACATAGACTGCAGCAGTTCAAGAAGGCAGCTCACCACCACCTTCTCAATGAGGGTAACAAACGTGAGACAGGAGCAGGATGAGTCCATTCAGCCCCTCGAGTCTGCTCTGCCATTCAACAGATCATGGCTGAACCGTTCACAGAATTCCTGTCTAACCCCCTGACAAGAATCAATGTACCACCACCTTCAGTCACCTCCGCCACCACCATCTTCTGAGGCAAATAATTCCAATGTTGGCCAACCCCTGATGGAAAAATAATCTCCTCACCCTGCCCTGAAAGGGAGACCCCTTACTTTCAGATGAGGGCTATCTTTTCTTTTTGAAAGTTCATTCCCAGGATGAGGGCGTCGCTGGCTAGGCAGCATTTATTGCCCATGCCAGAGGGCAATTCAGAGTCAACCACATTGCTGTGAGTCTGGAGTCACATGTAAGCCAGACCAGGTAAGGATGGCAGTTTCCCTCCCTAAAGGGCATTAGTGAACCAGATGAATTTATTCCAATAATGGATTCATAGTCTCTTAATTCCAGATATTTACTGAATTCAACTTCCACCATCTGCTGTGGTGGGATTCAAACCCAGGTGCCCAGAACATTATCTGGGTCTCTGGAGTAACAGTCCAGTGATAATACCACTAGACCATTTCCTCCCCCTATCTAATTCTGGACTGACCCACACGGAAAGTATGTCCCTGTTATGAACGAGTGTTTCGGTTTTCTCAAGTTAACAGCTGATATGTCTGGGCTTTCAACACTGTTTTTAACGGCTGCTACTTTCAGGGTTTTGTTTCCACCCCATTCTCTTCAAAGGACCTGCTGTAACTAGTCATGGGGCTATTAACACTGAGTTTGGGAAATTCCTTTCACTCACAGGAAACAATTTAACGGCCTCAGAAAAGAATAGTTTGTATAGGTCTGTGTGTGCAGTACAGTATGTTCAATAAAACAGACCAGGACTGTTTCCTGTGCTGCCTTAACCAAACACATTAAAGCTGGGTGTTACTTTACAATTTGACTTGGGCATCATTCACTTTATGAGGGAAGGGAAAGTGTATCTTTTTCAAATTAGGGCTGTGGGGCCTTTCGCATCGAGCTTGAGGGTCTCAGTCCGACAACTCATTCAAACAGCGGATGGCACCTCTGCCAGCCCTGAACTCCCCGGGTGCCACAAGAGACTGTGGTCAAGGCAGGGAAGTGGCACGTGAACAGACAATCTGTTGCCCACAGAGATGCCAGCTCCCGTTGTGTTCAGAGCACCTGAAACACTGAAGCAGAGGGAAAGTTGTGGTTAAAAGCTCACATCTTTAACAAAAAATAACATTTGGTTAAATCCTTACGTTTCAAACTGAAAATATTGGAAGAATCCAAACGACAGGCCACAGGTACAGAACGATCTCAGCCCCAGCCCCTCACCCTTTTCCACAGCTTTATACCATGAATGAATTCTAACCCCCTGTGGGGGAGGCCTCTCTCCGCTTTTTTGTCGAAACCATGTTCTTTTCTCCAGGTAGAAGGTTCTGAAAGCACAGCCGATGGCGCTTAGCACCTTCGACAAATTAACTGCCCTCGGGTCAAAACATATAAAGAGATCAAACTTGTCCCAGGCTCATGACCTGACCACAAACCAGACTTTGCTCCTTAGAAGGGGTTCATTTCTCAGCCTTGGGGAGCTGGCGCTGTGCACTTTCTGGAGCATTCTTTTCCTCCACTGTCTCTCTTTCCCTGTCTCGATGCAGTAACCTTTGCAAAGAGGTTGTGGTGGGGAGGGGGAGATGGATATGCTTTAAGAATGAGACGCACAAAATTTCCACCCTTCAAACTGGCACCATGATGTGAAAGACAGCTCACCAGGAGGTGACCCATTGGGAGGCTTGGCATTTCTGTAGGGCATTGGCATATTCACAATGCCCCACTCGTTTCATGACAGTTCATTTGTTTCACCATGCACCTACCCCTTGATCCCAAATGTGACTCTGTGTACCATCCAATGAGCATAGAAAAGCAGACTTGCATTTATATAGCACCTTTCACGATCGCTGTTTGGCTCAAAGCAGTTTACAGTCAAGGAAGGAACTTTGAACCGTAGTCATTGTTGTAATGTGGGAAACACAGCACTCAGTAAACTCCTACAAATAGCGATGTGATAATGCCCAGATAATCTGCTTTAGAAATGTTGATCGAGAGAGACCATAAGGCTATACGAGCAGAGTTAGGCCATTCAACCCATCGAGTCGGGCCTGCCATTCGATAATGGTTGGTATGTTTCCCAACCTCATTCTCCCCGTGACCCTTGACCCCCTTATCAATAAAGAACTTATCTATCTCTGTCTTAAATACACTCAAAGACTTGGCCTCCACAGCCCTCTGTGGTAATGAGTTCCACAGATTAACCTCCCTCTGGCTGAAGAAATTCCTCCTCACCTCAGTTC